TTATTAGAAAATCTAAAAGCTATATCAGAAAAGAGATACTTGTTTGTGCGCACTCGCATATTCTTAATTAAGTAAAGGAATTAGAAACCAAGTTTCCCTTTTAGCTTTGATCCATTACGATAATATCTGAGCTACCGGTGATGGAATCCTTCTGTATGTACTCGTAGGTCTTGTTTAACTCTGGTGTTTCCTTGATCGACTTGAGGAAATCCACTAACTGCTGATTTTTGTCTGTTGGGTAGAATTTCAGGTTAGCTTTTACAGAAACATAATGTTTGGGCGTCACAAACTCACTTGCTTTTGGTATTTGCGAAAGTGCCGACACTGCCCGAAGAGCAGAACGCTTCAGTTCGTCCTGCTTTTCGTACTCCTGTTTTACAGAATTTGCCTTCACTTTGTGGGTGCACGTATCACGTAGTTGCTGTATAAATTGATCAAGTCCTGGAAAAGATATGGAAGAATTAATAGGTATCCAACAAGCAAGACTTAGGCACTACTCACTTAAGAGGACCTTATCGGGACACAAGATAGCCAGACGAGCCGTCATCAGGTACGTCAGCATCTTGATGTCGTAGTGGTCGCAGAGACCAGCTTGCACATGGTCCAAGAACTGCATGACATCCACACGATCCAAGCCCTGCTCGAGAAGTGTGTACATGCACTCAAATGCCGCCTTGCGAATGTCTAAACCGTCGTCAACGGTGTGCTTGAAGGGACCCATCTCAACCTCCCTAATGAGTTCACTCTTCACTTTCGTTTCCGAGTACAGCCAAGGCAAGAGGGTGGGCAGCAAGTCGCGCACCAAGCTGGGTTTGTTGTGTACCGCCGAGTTAAAAGCCACGAGGGCGACTCGTCGCACCTGTGGCTCCGGATCTCGCAGGGCGAAAAGGAACTCGCCAATGTTCTGCTTGAGCAGTGCATCAATGGGCTGTGGCTGATCGGAGATGGTGAACTTTACGGACGAGACCACCACGGTGCGCATGGTGGCACTCTCGGATCGCAAAGCCTGCTGCAGTTGCGGCAACAGCTCGTCGGGATTAACCAGCACCAGTTTGCCCAAGCACTCGGCCACCACGTTGCGTGATCCTTCCTCTGAGCACTCGCAGTGTTTGAAGAGCTGGCTCCAAATGGATGGCACGGAGGGCAAGAGCTGGGCGAGTCCGCTGGGCGACACTGACAGTGATGAAATAACCTCCTTCAGCGAATGCAACAACAAGTACTGTCTCTTGGGCTGCACTTCGATCTCGTTAAGAATCAGAGGTAGGTATGTTTGCAGGCTGCCCACGGACACCGCGCCGAGGGCGTGTGAGGCGGCCGCCTTCACATCCTCCGAGGTGGCCCCAAAGCATTCGATAATGGTCTGTGGCAGCACCTGTATCGTGCTAAGATCGAAGTGTCTGCCAATCTCCCCGATGGTGAGTAAACAGAAAATAATTTCCGTGTCGTTCCTCTTTTGCAGATCCGTGATAAGCTTTGTAGCCAAGGGGGTCGCCACCTGGGGACACTGTTGAGTGAGGGCCGCGATGCACTTTGCCGACGAGTGATAAGCCTGCTTGTGCAGCTGCACTACCTCACTGGGGGCCCCGGCTGTGGCCCTAGAATTGGTGTCGCCATTGCCACCCAGAACTGGTGCCATTAGCTTCGACACCAGCGAATGATAATCCAGGCCGGTCAGCTGTGTTTGCACCAGGGCCTGGAACAGCTCCAAAGTGCAATTTAAAGCAGACCCCTGTAAAATAGGAATCAGGTATTACTTGTGCTTAAATGGAAATGAAACTGGGAATAAAATTGGTAGCATATCCTGCCTACCAGCAATGATTTGACTTTTTGTAATAATTATGTGACCCACCTGCAATAACGGGGAACGAACTAAAATGAGCACTGATCGCAAGAACTGCTCATGTATCCCCACCAACGCTTGGGGCTGCCTGCGGGCCACAGTACTCAATAGCGTCAGTGAGTACTGAGCAACGTGCAAATCGGAATCGGATATTAGTGGCGGAATCTCAACTATGGCTGTCTGCAGTAGGTTCGCCTCGAAGTTGCTCGAATAGTTTATGACGATTTTGTTGATCAGATCAAGGGAGTGCAACTTCAGGGCGCGGTGGTTCTTACGCAGGAATGTGCCCAAAGCGGGCAACACGTCGTGCAGGATGGGAGTTAGATCTATGCGCAGAGATGATGCTGCGATTAGGGTCAAAGCTTTCACGCTGCTCAGCCTGGTCACTTCATTCTTCAGACGCTCCATAAAGATCGGCAGACACACCGCCAGCTCGTTCTGCAGCATGTCGCCCATGTTAGCGATGATCTGACCCATGCATGCAATGGCTCGCTCCTTCACCTCCTGGTCGACATCCGTGACCTTTAGTTTCTGCAAGGTGCACGAGTAAACCTGACCCACGAAGGAAGGTGCATCAAAGTCGGACTTGGCAGCATTCGCTTCCAATGGTCGAATGACCTTCACCAACTGCTGGAGCACCAAAAGTGCCTCGGTAGCAATCTTATAAAACGGATCGAAAACAGAAGTCACCACAAGGGGTACCAGCGATGGTATATGTGGATGAAAAGCATGCGGCGGATGCCCCTGCAGCAGGGAGTACAGGAATCCCAGGGATTCGATCTTCATGTTGCTGGTCGAACTCTTGTCATTCAGCGAATAGCTTATGCCCGGTACAATGCTCTCCAAGTACGGACCCAGGGCACCTGGCAGCGAGTTTAGCAGCTCACGCAGCAAGAGGAAGCAATCTTGACGCGTTTTCATCGATTTTTCCCGCATTAACGGCTGTATGGCTTTCACGATAAGTGGTAGCTGTTCAATTAGCAGTGACGTCGGCCCCGACACCTGATCCATGGAGTCGGGGTCGTTGGCCACGTCGTCGCTCAGGCGAGTGTTCTTCAGCAGCGCCACATACGCGTGGAATATGTCGGACTTAACGTTCTCCTCTCGTTCCTTGAAACGCGCAATCAAAGCCGGACTCAAGCTGCGATAGAAGTCCTCAATAAGCTCCTGACGCGTGGAGATCAAAACCTCCAAGCACTTGGCAGCAGCACGGCGAACCTTCCAGCTCATGTCATCGTCGTCACTGTACTCCTCGCTGTCCACGTACTCATCATCCTCAGTGTCCATGGCGTTGCCAGTATCGCCGTCATCGGTCTCGTAGTTGTAGTTTGGATCATATGTAATATAGTTCAGGCACAATTCCAGGATCTATAAAAGGGATAGCTTTAGCGATGTATGCCTTGCACTCTTACTCCTTACCATGGGAATGTGCGGATTTATGGCATCTGGGCAACGCATAACGAATGCTTCGCAGGCCTGAAGACAAAACTCGCGCAGCTCATCGTCGTCTCGCTGGCTGTACTGGCTCAGTAAAAGCATAGAGCGATCAATGTGATTGCAAAGGCGATGGCCAGCCTGTCGACTAAAGAGCGAAGTTAAAGAATATAAAGTTGTAAGCCATAGATCTAATAGTACTGAACAGCAGCAAGCCCAACTTTTAGTTGCGCTCACTCTAGTAAAAAACCCTTACCATATAGAAGCCAAGCATTGAATGTATGTTCGAATGGCAGCAGGATTTGGTGGGTTTTCGAGACCGTCGAGCAGGTGATCGATGACACCATTGTAGGCGTTGCTGTTGGCCTGTATCAGCAGAAAGGACAGGGCCACGATGGTGCGTTTGCGAACAGCTTGACGCGAGGAGGCCAACTGGGGCGTTAGGGCCTTCAGGATAGTGCTGTGGAAGGGGACCAGGAACTCCCCAAAGCGGGAGAGCAAATCAGCCAGTATGTCCAACGACTCCAGTTTCACAGAGACGTCCTCCTGCAAATGACCGGCAGATTGAACCGCTGATGATATGACGACCTACATACAGAACTGCAGAAGCACCCACCTTTTCAATGGCTGTGCTCAGCTTGCCGGTGATCCTTTGACAGACATTTGGGGCCAAGGAGTTGGAGGACTGTGGCAGCTCGGCAATCACTGTCTTCAGGCCAATGCTCGATATGTCGCGCAGCTGCTCCGTGTTGGACATCATGTTGGCGCACAGCGAATCCACAATGGTCTCCACCTGGATCTCCTTCACCTTGTTGACCAGCGGACCCAGGCACTTGACTGCCAAGTTCTGGACCTCGCCATTCTTGTCCTCCAGCAGTTTCAGCACCATTCGCACCACTTTTTTCTCCGACTCGTCGTCCAGAATAATGCTATCTTTCTGCAGCTCCGTCATTAGATCGTTTGTCGCCATAAAACGGAAATCCTTATCCGTCGACGTCATCTGCAGCGGGCCAAGGCTCCATTATAGTTTCATTACATTGCAAAAATAAAATTCTATACATACTTTTTCCAGCAAATTTGCAATTTGGTGGTACTGATGTGACGCCATAGCGAAGCCTTTGAAACGTGTATTGGTTACAGTTTAGTGATAAGTAAAATATTGTATATTGAGTTAAGACTGCGCTATTTTTGGCTTTGGAAAACTGGAAAGTCCACTGAATTTTTTTCCGGCAGAGTTCTCCAAGTTTTATATTCACTCAAAAGCAATTTTGTTATAAAGGCTGCTTTAATGGGGCCAGTTTCCAAAACGCCTCTTGACAAAACCCTAACGCGTTTGGATGCCGATAAGGAATTCGGAAATTGGTTAGAGTTGAAATATTTTAGGAACGAATGAAAATGAACTTACATTTTCTTAAATTTGTATTTTAAGTTTTAAGTTTAAATAACATTTATTTAATAAATTTATGTAGCTGAATGGTATTTTTGGACCAGTTGACTTTCCTGGAATTGTAGGCATTAAATATAAAATAAATGGTGTTAAAAGTCATAAAACATCAGATGATAGGGTTTAAATATTTAAGTACAGACAAGTAAATTAAATTTAATAGGCTTTATAATATATATATATTATATTATTTTCACAATCTTGTAAATTTGGCTGTTCCTTTCCCATCGTTTCTGAACCATGACAAATGAATGATAAGGCTCTTGGAGTCTCCCATCTCTAAGATTATGCCGCTCGTTTTCATTGGGATTATTTTGAACCGCAGCACACTGCTAGAATTTAGTCAAATCTTTTACGTTTTTTTTAACTAAGGTATAAAATGGAACAGATCTTGAACAAGGAAAACACTGGCATTCAATGTAAGTTGACTTTAGTTTGTTTCTCATTGATATTTGTTACTTTATAGTCGTTTAATATTACAGTGCCGGCGAATCCCATAAAAAATGGAGTCCCTAGTAATTCTGTAATAAAAAAACCACTGGGAAAACTTGACAATGTGATGCACCAAACTCCTGGCATAACCCCATTTAAAAGCAGTTCCTTGAAACTCGAGGGCAGTATCGCCAAGTTGTCGATTCGTAAGGCTCCTTATCCTAAACAAAATGTGATAAGCAAGGACCGAGAAGAGATTAGTTTTAAATCAACGAGCTGCTATTTGGGCTCCTACATGTTGAAGTGCGAAGCCAAAGTCATTAATTTGTTTGACTATACGGACTTTCCAAACGAGCAATGTTTGAAGAAGTGCAGCAAGCGTGAGTCCTATTAGCAATCCCCCCAAAATATTTAACTACATTTCTGTACCCATTTTAGCAATCACGGAAACCTGGTCGGAGAATCAGCCTGGATACGAAGCACTGTTCGATCAACTTTATTGTGACCTTCGCACATTAGAAAATCATTTAGAAAACGTGTGCCTACCCCCTCTCGATTCCGAGTTTGATGATCTTCCATACACATATGACATAGAAAATTTCGAAATTGCAGAGGATGAATACGTTCTAAATTTATTTCCACCCTTGCCCATCTTGGAAAACATTGATATTCTGTTTTAAGTAATTGTTTTATAATTCGTGTTGTTTCTTAGTTTAGCTTAGGGTATACCTTTGTAATACATTATTTATAATACTGTAAGAAAAACGATTTAGCTAGATGATCAACTGACCAAATTCTTAACGAAAATATGATGTTTAAATGAAACTGCGCTGTAACGGACAGTTATGCAAATTTGGGCCTATTAGAGAGATTTTCAAACTTGATCAAACAGATCCAAATGTATGCCAAAACTATAATGCAAATAAAATTAAGTAAAGTGAGAAAAACAGCTTTCTAAGGCTCGAAACTTTATCAAACCTGGGTTTTTCCGGCTTTATTTTATAAATCGGACGGATCTTGTCACAAAAGTGCAGTCAAGATCAAAGCTAATAATGCATGCCTTAACTGCGCTACAAACTGCTTTTCCTTATTGGTTAACTAAAATGAGATCTGGCGAGGGCGCCCGCCTATAGTTCATGTAACAATACCTCTTTGGCGAGTTTCCAAGTGATGAAAGTCTCTACCAGAGGTTAGTTATATCGCTAATAGTATTTAATATTTTTTATAGAACCTCATTTGCTATTAAAGTAAAAAGTCTTGTCATGGATGCAATAACCGATCCGCTGCCGCAGTGGCCTCTTGCAAGTCCTTCCTCTACCCTGGGAATCGCATTGAAATTCTGGCGCATACATATATACATATATGTACAAGGGTGCCACAGAAATCACTTCTGCGCTAAGTCATTTATAATTTATATTATTACACTTAAGAATCTTACTGTGAATAGAAGCTCAGAGATTTCTGGGGCACCCCCGACAAAGATATTTATTCGGGGTGCCACCTAAATCGCTTATTGATGTGTTGGTGTATAATTTACGTTGATGTACGTAAGAATCCTGACCGAATTCGTCGCTAAGCGATTTCTGTGGCCCACTGTTCTATTCGAAAAAAAAGTTGTGTTGTGAATTAAACAAGGTATTATTAAAAATATACAAGAATGAATTTAATTTAAGTAGAACTTGCTCAATCTATTTGCCTTAAATAATTCCCCATATGTGAAAGACAATTTTGTAATAAAATTCCATTACTATTGGCCCCTTTTCTTTTAATATATGTTCCACAACATCCCAAGGACTTAAAATTTTCCACATTATTCCGATTAGTGATTCTGTGGCACCGCCGATAAATAATTTTTTTATTTTATTTCTTGGGTTATTGTGCTTAGCCCAAATGTATGATTTCTAAAAAAAAAAATTAACGCATAATTAAAAAAAAATTAAAATATTTGTGAATAATTTTATTATGTTCTAGATATATGTATAGAAATAAATTGATTACAATTTAAAATTTATTTAGTTGGTACTTTAGTTGATGCTTTCAAATATTTCTTAATTTCTAAGTCTCATATGCATTTATTTAAAAACAATAGCTTACTGTAATTTATTTTATTAGTTACCAAAAAGTGTATAGTTAATCTATCGTTTTCAAGCCAAATTCGACGTGTAGTCTAGCTTTTTTGGTAGCCAACACTTGGCAACACTGAAACACAGTAATGTATCCAGTTTTTTTTACATTACTGCAGAAAGGTTTCTCATCTCGTTGATGACCTTAGTGGCCCGTTTTTTTGGATAAAATAAAAGTGAAAATTTGTCATATAAATGTGTAAATTAAAATGTAAATTCAATAGCGGTATAAACCTGACGAATGACAATACATTTATGAAGCTAAAAAGGCGTATTTAATGTGTGCAGTTGTACATTTATATTTGTGTTTGTGTTTAAATTGTTTTCTATTACGGCAAACGGTATAAAAACACATATTTTAACATACTAATTGACTGCACTAAATCAAAAGACTTAGGCGACAAACTCGCAAGTACCTGTGGTTGGTGGAATGTACATATGTTTAAAGACGTGGCAGTGTCACCAGTGCAACAATACAACTCTTGTATATGTATGTAAACATATGCTGTTAATGTATAATATTTCCTGTCTGATGAAATCCAGACTGAAATTAATTACCAACTCTTTAACTGGCAATCAGTAGTCGAATAAGTAACATAAAAACGAACTACTGGGCAATAAATTATAAATATGTTAATTTTTGCAGCCTCTTTGAATGATATGCTGTTTTACTTGAGCTAAAAAAAACCATTCACCATTCTTTGTTCAACATATATTGAATAATCTTCAAAATGGTTTACCCCGAAGAACCTTTTTGGGTTTTACCAACGGTAACTGGATTTTACGAGGATAGAGATTATAGAGGTGATATTATTATGTGAAGTCCCAAATATACACGCATAAACCAAGCATATGTATGTATTTCAGTTAATGTGGTTGAAGCCCTTCAAGAGTTTTGGCAAATGAAGCAATCCCGCGGAGCCGAAATGAAAAACGGGGCTCTAGTAATTTACGAATCGATTCCAGCTAATAGCCAGCCATACATTTGTTTCGTAACCCTTCCTGGCGGAAGCTGCTTTGGAAGTTTTCAGGTAAATATAAATCTTCAAGCAAATAAGACCTTAAATAGAATAGCTTGGTAAATCATATCGCTCTTTTCAGAACTGTCCAACCAAGGCAGAGGCCCGTCGCAGTTCGGCCAAGATTGCGCTGATGAACTCGGTGTTCAATGAGCACCCTTCGCGCCGAATCAGTGACGAGTTCATTCAAAAAGCTGTTCAGGATGCTCGAACTTCATTTAAGGGCACATCGCAAATAAATGAGGGCTCAGAGTCTGGAATTGGAGCTTTTAGGTAAGAATTTCAACCCCCAGATGTCTTAAATTCTTTAAAATGTATTTTTTTTAATTTCTAAAAGCATAGAACAACATACAATTCATTCGTATTATGCTTAAAATAGTTTTGCTAACTATGATAGATATTAAAAACACTATTTAATTAGATTCAAATTATTCTACTTTTGGAAGTCCTAGTAATTTTATAGAACAAGTCGTGCTTACTTGCTCATAACCATTTTTTGGGTCTAGATTCATGCTGGAAGCAAATAAGGGAAGAACTATGCTGGAATTCCAAGAGCTGATGACGGTCTTTCAACTGCTTCACTGGAATGGGTCCTTGAAAGCAATGCGCGAACGCCACTGCTCCAGGCAGGAAGTCGTGGCCCATTACTCTAACCGGAGCCTGGACGACGAGATGCGGTCACAGATGGCATTGGACTGGATTGCCAGAGAACACGACAATCCCGGCGTTATCCGCAGGGAGTTGGGGCTTGCCGAGAGAGAACTGGAGACCTTCCGCATGGCTGGACGTGAACTGCGTTTTCCGAAGGAAAAGAAGGACATACTTATGATAGCTCATAATCAACTGGGCGGCAGTGCCCTTAACTCGGCTTCCATTGATGATTAATCGGGAAAACTAATAAGCATCTTACACGATCGAAATGACCCTTTTTTAGATAAATCATACAATTTCACTTTGAGTAACAATCACTATTTATTTAATTGGCATACCATATGATCTCCATGATGAAAAACAAGCGGAAAAATGATTCAACTTCCCACAATTACTTCAAAATTAAAAAATTAATTTTAAAAATCTTTGAAAATGTGATTTTTAATACAGCTGCTAAAAAAATAAGACTAAACCCAATAAAATAAATATATTATTTTAAAATAATGTTTTTATTATTTTATTAAGGGAAACCAAAAATGGTTGTAAAAGGGGAAATTATGGTTTAAAAACCAAGTTTTAAATTGTATTTTATTAATTTCCATTATTTAGTTTCAGTTTATTTGGGTCTCCATGAAGAACTGAATAATGACATGTTATGTTAATAACAATGGATTCGATTTTTCAAAGATGTGGAACTTGTATTTCTTTATTATACAAAATCATCTTACACATATGTTTGAAAAATACTAAGGGAAAATTTCCGCCCATAACGTCGGTTAAGCAAAAGTAAAAATCAGTTCCACGGTCAATCGGATTTCTCCATTCAACTGGTCTTTCATGGCATCTCTTTTCTTTACGAAAAGAGGTTAGCCGAGATGTTCCGCATACAGACTTGGGAGTCCATGGCTTGTCAAAATTTTTCGCCTCAAAACTAAAATACTGTTGAAAAGACTCCGTTATGTTACTGCATTTTCTTCCGCTAAAAATATAACATCCGCATACGTGCCAATATTTATTTATCGAGTGCTTCCACATTTTAGTCTTGTAACAACTTAATTAATGTGAAAAAATTGACATCAGCATCATAGCATTAAATACTTTTACTAAACCAACCATAGCGCTTTTGATTTGCAACCGATTTTTTGCAAAGTTGATCTTAACATTTAAAGGACAAACTAAGGACAAAAGGACAAACTAAATCAAGTCCTCAAAATAATGTCTCAAGAACGATTCTTTGAAAATTTTTTTGAGTGATACCAGCGTGTTTTAAAACTGAACACGAACAAAAATTTATTTTTAAGTTAGTGCCAAAAATATAATGGTAATTTTTCCTTTGTCCTTTGGCTCAAATACTTTTCTTAGACTTAAAATATGCTTTTGTGTGGTCATATTTAGCAAAATAAAATCCACAATTTTTCTCGTAATCGGCCTTGTGAAGACAAATCCACCTCCTTTTGATTTTCTTCCGTTCGCCAGATATAATAGTTTTAGTGTAATCTATCGTACGTGGATATTCCGCGAAAGAGTGGTTATAGTGTCGAAATAGATACGAGGGTAAGTCTTGGAAGCGATGGAATCTCAAGATGGTACTGTCCACTTTAAAAATAAAATATAAAAACGGAGGTGGCCGGGTTGATATAGAACGACCCATATATATAACAATTTCGAAAAGCCCCGCCGTATGTCGCGTGGAATAAAGAAGATTTCGAATAAGTCGAAGAAGATTTATGTTTCCGTCCAGTTCATAAAACAAGTAGTTTCGAAAAATTACGGCAAGAACATGAATTCCATAAATTATTTTGTCAGACCCTAATGAAAATTCCTTTAAAAACACTCCAAGATATTATTTGTTATTTTTCGTAAAACCAAGTAAGCGTATTATAAAAGTTTTCCATTCCATTGTTTCAAATAAACGTGTTCCACAACAGAGAAACAAAACTAGACTGTAGTCCATCCCTCGAAATCAAAGACATTTATGCCGCTATCTTGTCTGTTTTTCTGTGAATGTAACACATACATACAATTAAAATAAGAAGAAAAGAAGGAGAAAAAAGTGTTTTTAAGCTGCAAAACTGCACTAAATAACACTGCGCACAGATCAACTGAGCTAATATATCCGACAGCAACCTAGAAACACACGGATTTGGCTACGCAATGGCCTCTGAAGAGCTACCAGCTGATCTGGACAAGTTGAAAATAACACAGACTCATCCTCCAATCAAGTCTGTGGAACGGAACCCCTTTTACGATGCAGATAATGGATTCGATCCGTGTGATAACTCTGAGGCTTCATCGAGCTCCAAACCCCGATCACAACATCGCTGGAAGTGCAGACCCCGACGAAGATCCGAAAGCTGCCTGCAGGACTGCAAGCAAGAAGACTCATTTCTTCCAGCCGAATCGTTTGAGATTGTTAGTCCCTTGAGCTGCTCCCACGGAGTCCAGAAGCATTCTCAAAAGCGAAACTACCATGCCCCAGCGAGGAAGAACATTCTTCGTCAGCCCATTTTAAGATCCTTGAACGGTTGCGAGCATGGCAAATGGATTGTGCGCAGTGGTCGGATTGTTCCCTGCAAGTCCAAGGAGGAATCCAGTGATAATGTTGGCCGGGTCAACGAAGATATGAAGTCGAGCTGCTCATGTGCATTTCGCGATGTCATTGGCGAATGCAATGCCATGCTCGACGAATCGAAGAGAAGCACACTGGGAAACAGTTGGCACCTGTCGACTTTGAAGGCGCGCCGCTCAGAGAGTGCTATAGAAGAGCCAGGACCCTCAGGACTTCAAAGCCATAAGAGCGACTCTGCCATCTCCGCCGCAACGAGATCTCTCTCAGCGGTTTCGCTGATGGGAGCAACGTGCTCGCAGCAGGCCAGCTACAATTCCACGAACCCCGGGAACTGCGATGATGTGACCATCGGTGAACTGGCCAGCTACTTCGACACCATTGTTCATATTCCTAAAAAGATGTCCTCAATGGCCGAGATGATGTATATATAATTTTCGAAGCGTAATCATTATTAATTCATACCCTTCTCTGAATATATTTGTAAGTTCAAGTGTACGATATGTATGTTATTTGTGAATTTAATTACAAAATTTCAGCACTTTTAAACTTCAGTTGGTTAATCTAAATATTTATACTGTATAATATGTACATAGTCATTGGTATATTCTGCGAATTACAGCATTTCTAAATACACCTAAACAAGATTTTTATTATAATCGCAAAAGGAACTACGATCTTGTATTATTGCAAGTCATCATCGCACTTTTAGCTCCTCTTATTTCAATAAGTTTTCGCACAGGGGCTTGAATAGAATTGTAGCTAAGATATGAAATGGTAAAAGTTAAACGTTTGCTCGGGAAACGACTGCCAGAATTCTTTACATTGCTTGTAGGATAACTGAAAAGAAATATTAAAAATGTTAAGTACTTACGTTTTCAAAAATGAACTTCAAAATCCTTTAGAGTTCCAACTCAACTCTTTAACCCTTTTTCATAAAAAATGTAAACGAATGCAGCATCCAACTATTTAATACTAATTATTCTTTATTCATTTGAAGTTCGGATTATACATACATAAATAGACATTTAATGCGTTATTCATATAATTGTTATCTATTTGTGCACTCAAACTTGTCAAATTGTTTTTGTCATGAATTGATTCGATTAATATGTAAAATATTAAAGGACGTTAAATTCAGTATTATTGATGTAACCTACAAATTTCTGTTTATTTTCGGAGTGCACCGATGTTAATTCAGTCATAAGATTAGAGTGGTTGTTCTTGTTTGAGAATCTAATGGGTGAAGTGAACACTTGCTTAAGCTTTGATATATTTCCAATACTTTTTTTAATTCGATCACTATAGTTTGAAAGGTGATTAAACGAACGACTATACTCTACTTCCTGCCATTGTTGAGCGCTCGTTTTCCGCGGCGCAGCGGGATATAAAATGTGCTGTAATACAAAATATATTATTATATATGTATTTCGTTCTTATATTTATATTACCGAAACAAGAGCTTTTTCTGTAAATGTCACGCTCTTCCTTATAATGTCATCCGAGTGATGATGATAATAATATTGAGAGTTCTGCGTCTGTGAGTATCGAGTATTGCTGCTTACAACATCAACGCCATGATGATCGGTATTGGTGAAATTGTCGTATCCATTGTTATTACTAAACATATCTACAAAGCTAATGGAGTGGAATTCGCTGGGGTGAATATAAAACGTCACAATCATTGCGGTGTACACAATGACGTGAAACAGCACGCAAGTCCAAATAAGATTTATCTGAAAATAAAGTCGGTTAGTTTAACATTAATAAACGGGCCAGCCAGTCTTACCTTTTTCTTGCGACCGTATTTCGAGAACGTGGTGAATGGCACTAGGGACATGGTTAAAAGGCAGCCACAAATCACTCCAGCCAGCAATCCCAGGAAGTTGAGCTGATAAGGCAGTGTTCCTATTCCGACTAATACGCTGCACAGGAGCAACAGTTTGAACAGCGCGATGTGGGGTTTGTGCAGATACTTCCAGTGCATCCAAACCAGCAGGGCAATCAGCGAGGCCACCACGCCACTGAGCGATGCCGAGGGTCCAACCTGTCGATGTAATGTAAAGGGTTAAGTAATTTAATAATTCTAGGCTCGATATCATTCAGAAAATTAAGGTAACAAATGACGAAACCGCGAATTCTTTAGAATTTCTACGGTGTTTATTAAAGTCTCCATAGTTATACCTCTGGACGATGAGGCACAAGTATGGCGCTCGTTAGATTTCCAGCGAAGCCCGACATAATGTAGACAATCGCAGTACGAACGGTTCCAATCAACCTCTCCAAGTCGGCCAAAAACAAGTGCTGGAATATAAGGGTAATGGCCAGATGCAAGATGCCGGCGTGCATGCAGAGCGATGTGAGCAATCTGTACAGCTGATCCGGAGTCTCCACGGATATGAATGGGAACATTCCGCACACATTGTTTAGGCACGATATCTGATCAAATTTAATGGGATATAAAAACAAGGTAACCATTTATAATATTGAGCGCTTACCTGTGAACACAACGATGCCTCCTCATGAAAATATCCCTTTATAAAGTCGCAGTACTCGCGAGTCGTTATCCGGCACTCTCCATATAAACCCGTACAGCAGGGATGTCCAATCACCTCGCACACCATGTGCTCGGAGGTATGGTCCTTGTACCGATATCGCTGAGTGAAAGAATTGGTTTTCCGACATATTGGCCACTTGGTGATGTCGTCAGGCCACTCGTAAGGAGCAATCGATGCTGGAGCGTCGCAAAACTTGGGATCCAGTCCGCAGACGGACCCGGAGATTCTTCCTCCCGGTCCAGACTCACTGGGAGACCACTTCTTCCACGTAGATATTGATTTCTGGTCAATAAGGATAACAATCGGTTACATTTTCTTACTATGTTATAAAACCTGATTTCTAATAGAAAGAAGTATGTT